CCCTGTAGACATCATGCAATGTGCCACTGCCAGGCTCAAATCCATATGCTACAAGCCAGTGCCAACTGGGATGTACCCATAAATCTTTAAGTCCATCATACAGAGAGGCAGGGGCAAGAGACCTTCCTTCTGATCCTTAGAGGGGAGAATATGAGAAGTGCATATGTAAAAGCAGAGATGCTCTGCCACATGGGACACCACAGTCAATCAACTCTTTTCTCATTTAGAAATCTTCCCCAGATAGGCCTCTGGAGAAGAAAGTTGTCCTGGGTTCTCCATTTCTGAAACCCAGTCAGCTGAGGTTACAGCCAAGAGCTTAAAGCCAAGATACTCCTGGACGGAAATCCACCACAGCCAGCTTGCAGTGCGGAAAGCAAAGGAAATGCTGGCTCTGAATATGGACAGCATTACTCATGGATTTATAGGAAACGATTCAAACCAAAAACCAGGCTGCATCTTGTATCCTCCCAGCAGCCACACAAGATGCAGCCCTCAGGAAACTATTGTGAATAGTTTAGCTAGGATTTTAGATCAACCATGGTTTGTTAAAACTGAAATAGGAACATAAATAGAAAAATGTTGAGGGGGACCCTGGTATGCAAACACAGATCAACAGCAAAGCTCGTGTCAAATACGCTCTCTGCTTGTTGGGACAGGCATGCAGTTCTAGCTGGGGAGCAGGGAAGGTGTGGCAGAAGTATCTCCTTCCCCATTTATAGCTAAAACATTTGGTTTCTGAGACAGCTGGGTGTCACCAGCATACTGCCTTTTCCTGGAGCAGGCTGTGGCTGATTTACATGGGGCAGAGTTAAAAACAGGAAGGATGCTGGTAGAGAAGATGAGAGTGTTGTAGAGAAAGAGGGAGCTTGAAAAACTGTGAAGGCTAATCTTGAACATCTTTAATGCCATAGCCAAGACCTAGCCTCATTCACAATGGCATGCTGCTGTGAGAGAGGGTAGAAGTAAAATAGTACATAATAATAAAGGGCATAGTCCCTTCTCAGCCTGTGATTAGGGTTTCTTACTGAGCACCCCAAGTTGGCTTTGCAAAATGCCACCTTAGGCATTCTAATACTCCACTCCTAATGTCCCTGATACTCACTCTTCAGCCTCCCCTTCATCTACGTTCCCATTATATTCCTTTCTCCTTTTAAACCAAGTTTAAGGTGGAGTAATGTGGCTGGCTGACAACCCTGCAGGCTAAAGTCCATTCTTTATCCATAGCAAAGAAGGGAATCCCATTTCTCCTCCTATATTATATAATGCTGAGCGTCCAGCACTAGAGGGAGAGGTCCTGATAATGATCAAGTCACTGGTCAAAGGACAACAACATGGTGCCATCCTACAAAAGTGAAATGCAGCAGGGTCCCTTTATTATTCTGTACATCTCTTAGATTTCCCAGAACCAGAGACAGACAGACAGAGAAGCTTACAGATTAGAAAAGGAGTTTTGCAAAATATGCATGTGCTTTTGAAATGCCAACGCTATCTGGGGAAAAGTTCTGCTCTGTTGCCAGCATTGTGTAATGCAAACAGAAGTTGTCCCTTCTTCCCTCTTTCCTTGTGCTCGATAAAGAGAAGGGCTGGGGCTAACGGCCACATGGGAAAAAACACACACAAATAAACAGTAGCTAAATCAAATCAGATGCAATAAGTTTAAATCCCATAAAATGTTACAAGGCCAGACTGTATGCAATGGGTTTTTGACACTAACTCTTTGTTTGGTTTGCAGAGAACAGTATGGCCCAGAATTTTCCAAGGCTCTGTTGACTGTTTCAAATACTTTCAGTAGCATGTGTACTCCCACAAATGGCCAAACACGCAAACTTGTTGGGGTTGACCTGACTCTCTCACTGTGGAGCAAGGTGCATGGGTTTATCATGTGGGAGGAGCAGTCAGGTGTGCACTCAGATGTGCAGACTAACCACTTCTAGTCACACAGATTGCTCCTTGTCCTCCCCTGGAGCGCCCTAGTGAACAGTTTTTCTCCCAGCTCCCAATATTCACCCCTTACATACTACTTATAAACGGTCACCAACTCTCCCCTCACTCTTCTCTTCCCCAGAGTGTTAGTGGATGGGTCTGTATCGTTTTAGTGGGAGGTGGCCAGTGGTGTCCCACAGGGTTCGGTTCTTGGCCCAGTGCTGTTCAACATCTTTATCAATGATTTAGATGAGGATGTGGAAAGCATGCTGGCCAAGTTAGCAGATGATACTAAGTTATAGGGAAAAGCAGTCACTCTAGGGGATAGGACGCGGATCCAAGTGGACCTGGATAAGCTGAAAGGTGGGCAGAGCAGAATCAGATGTAGTTCAATAAGGATAAATGCAGAGTGCTTCATCTGGGAAGAAGTAACTTGCAGCATGAATACAGGTTAGGAGAAGATGTCCTGGCTAGCACAATGGTTGAAAGGGACCTCACGGTTATTGTTGATCATAGGATGAACATGAGGCACCAGTGTGACGCTGTAGTCAAAAAAGCTAATAGCATACTGGGATGCATTAGCCAATGTGTCACAAGCAGGGCTAAGGAAGCGATACTTCCTCTCTACTCGGCATAGTGAAACCCCATTTGGAGTGCTGTGTCCAGTTCGGGACACCACACTTCAAAAAAGATGTGGAGAATCTTGAAAGGGTCCAGAGAAGAGCCACAAGAATGATTAAGGGCCTGGAGGACAAACCTTATAAGAAAAAACTAAGGGATCTGGGAACTGTTCAGCCTGGGAAAGAGAAGACTGAAGGGGAACTTGATGGCCATCTATAAGTATGTTAATGGTGAATATTGGGAGCTGGGAGAAAAACTGCTCACTAGGGCACCCCAGGGGAGGACAAGGAGCAATGGCCATAAACTGTTGGAGGAGGGTTTCAGGTTGGATGTAAGAAAAAACTTCTTTATGGTAAGGGTGACCAGCATCTGGAATAGACTTCCCAAAAAGGTGGTGCAGTCCCCAACTGTGGAAGTCTTCAAGAGGAGACTAGACAGACACCTTGCTGGGATCATTCGATCTCAGCAGTATTCCTGCCCAGAGAGGCGGAGTTGGACTCGATCTTTCGAGGTCCCTTCTAGCCCTTAATTTCTATCATTCTATGAAACAGGTACAACAATTATGTCAATTTTGATTTTGGAAAGCGAGTAGTTCTTAGCACTTCCACAGCAAATATTAAGTACTTTATTTGACCAATAGCTGTACTTTATTAAGAAAGAATAAAATGCCTCAGAAATAACTTGCCCAGAGGCCACATAATGAATTTATGGTACAGCCAGGATACATAACCATCTTGCATGATACTGGTCTCCTGCTTTCCCTGACTTTTTATTAAGTTCCTAAAATAAGGCAGCTTTCTGGTTCAAGGGGTTTTGCCTGTAACAGAGCATCTCCTAGAATCACACAAAGTGTGGTGGCCTGTGTAACAAGCTGAGTCATATGAGTCTAAATCCTATTGATCTATAAGCAGAGATGTAGCTTCCCTCAACAATTATGATCAAGGAAGGAAGTCTCTGTATGAGTAATGTAATGTAGTCCTTGAGAAAAAACACCAGGAAACTCATTGCCAGTTCACATTTCCTTGTCTGACATTATGTTCCATTACATTGCATTAACCAGTGGAGGTGTCTGAGCAACAGCTGCAACAACTTCAGCGCAGTGGGTCTTACCAAGCGCACAGGTGCTACCAGGGAAGCTGTGATCCTCACACAAACCCAGGTATGGTGAGACCACCTGCTTAACCAGATCCTCCAGCTGCATGTAGCCCTCACTGGGACCCGTAGGTTCATGGACACTCTGAAATTCAAGCATTAAAGCAAACATTTCACTTACAGTTTCAAATCATATATTTTTATATTTATGGAAGCCAAAAGAACTGGAAGGGATGCGTAAGGGAATATTTCCTGGACCTGGACCAGGAAATGGCTACAACATAACTCCAACACTACCAATAGCAATGGTTGGAAAACTAAGAATTCATCTGCAGAACACAAGCTTCGCTACTTTCCACACTGCCTTCCTTCAGAGAGGAAAATCAAAATCCATGGAAACTAAAATGTGGGGAAATAAAAACCAGAGGGGTCTAGGGCTAGACAAAGGTCTGGAATATAGATCTTTTCCATGGTTTGCATTTCAGATGATACAAGAGCTAATATGCTTCATTGAATGCTTGGATCATGGTATATGCATGAGGGCCACCCAGACCTTTGATACATATGCCTGGGCAGAATTTTTTGGAGGAGTGGAGGCTGCCCAGACCTTCCACCCTCCCTTTAGGCCACTGAAACAGAATCTAAAGACCAGACTGGGTCCAGATGTTTGGTGCCTCCATGGCTGTAGTTGTATAAGTGTCTGGGAATTGAACCCAGGTCTTCTGTTGGGTAGGCAAGGATTTTACCACTGAGCTACAGGGGACTCGCTGTATAGATAACACTTGGAAACTACTTCTCTGTCCCCTTGAGGTCTAGATTTGGAGGGTGGTCCCCTTCAAAAGTCTGTGCTGCTTGGGAAATGTCCTTGAAAGATCGACAAACCCTTGTCTACTGCCAGAGGTGTTTGTACCCTCACAAAGCTGGACCCCAACTGAACTCCCTTCTTAGTTGAGGCAATCTGTATTAGAGACTGTATTAGTAGCCAGTGTTCATCTGATTCCATGAACTCCTCTGAGGCAAACCATCCCTGTCACTATAAAGCTGTTGAAACAGATGACCTGGCATATGACATTCCAAGTATGAGAAATGAGAGCATTTAGGGATGCTAGAAGATGATGACTGGTTAAGTGAAACAAAAGCACTGAGATAACTCATGGCTGTGGAGCTCACATACCAAGGAAAACATGCCAAGATTAAACCCAGAAGGACAGTTTAGACCCACCCTTCTCTCTGCTCAGGAAAATTCAAGCCACAATGTTTAATGTTCAGTTTAGCTCTATTTTCATATGAAACTTCCCCAAGTGAACACATACAACTCCCTCCTCGCCTCCTCAACTCTTTGCCCTCTATCCAGGGACAATATGAATTAGGTAGTCGTGTGCTTTTGTGGTGTCTTTGAAAGAAAGAAAAAAGGCTTTTCCCCACCTGTAGAATTAGCAGCATCTGGACAATGGAAGGTGGGATCTTTGTCTGGACCAGGGGAAGAATTTCTTCCAACTTCACTTTTAACAGGACCAAGTCTCTGAAACCAAGAAGGGCAATTTGGCGGATGGTCAATTCCTGACCCTGAAGAAAAAAAAAAAACATATTGGAAAACACATGCACAGTATGTACATAGCACAAGTACACACACATGGGCACCCCATCTTGCAAGTTGCTGTAATGGTGGAGCACTCATTAGAGAATTTCTAGTGCTCCTCAACAGCATATCTGAGTATCACTGCTTTACCCTATTTCTGATCTAGGTGGCAAACCCTCGGAGCTCTGGCTTCAATCCAAATCTAGTGGGAGTCAAGCAAAAGAGAGCCACAATCTCAGCAAGAGGTGCGATGGTTGCAGTTAGGATGGGCAATGTGAAGCCAAGGGCTGCTAAAGCAGTTGTGCTGCCACTCAGTTGTGTGGGGTAACTTTGCATATGGTGCACCTGAACTATGCCTATTTCTGATCTGTGTCAGATCTCATATTTAATTCAACTTTTCACTTTGGAAATTGCCAATGAAAACACAATTTAATGAATTACTTGGTTATCTCTTCAGTTTGGCCAGAGCATCCCATCCAACTCTGTCTATCAGGATGAAGAAAGCAGAGGCTTTGGTTTTCCAATATAAATATTTTTTTCTTCCCAATATTCTTTTTTTTTGCATTAATGAGTTGTTAAACCTTTTTCATGTGCATCATCAAGATGTCAAAATATTTCACAGCACAGTTCTTACACAACAAGTTAACCTAATCCAACACTGATGTTATTGTTAGCCTGAGCTAGGCCTGACACAGCTGCTAATCTCCTGCACCATCAAATCAGCTGCAGCAAAGGTTTAACTGCTGACATTTTTCCCCCTCTCCCTTGTCCTGTCTTATGTGGAGACTCCCCAGCTCTCTACTGCAAGTTAACCTCTGCTCTATGTTCTGCTGTGGGATCATTTTACAACCTCCATCACACACCCAGTGAAGCAAATCTGACTGGTGGGAATAAATGCCAGTTAATCATTAATTCATAATTGGTTTAATGCTGCAATTAGCAATTACATCAATATTCAAATAAGACCTATAGCCGATGGCATCGAGTTTGGCTTGGCCATTAAACAACTGCTTTGCTCTCTTAAAACATCAGAGTGTTTATTTGGAAATGCCAGGGTGTTGAAAGCAGCACAAAGGACTGAATTGTATTTTTCCAGTAACAGGACACTTTTCCTATTTATTTCATTTAAGCAGTTTAATACCTCTATTTAAAGCAAAAGCACCACAAGATACCAGGGAAGAAAGGTGATGCCTTCTTTTTCTGCCCATGCCTAGTACAGCAGTCACTTTGACCTTAGTATATCAGTGGAAGGCAATGGCCTCTTTAAACTCTTCTCATCTATATGGGAAAGTTAGGTCTCCGGGTGGTTTAAGTTCATATCACAGAAGCCATAATTATGTCCCCAGAGGCAAGGAAATCACAGCCTAGTGATGTATCAAAACTGACTGAACCCTCACAACAACAAAAGGCAGCTCCTGCAGACCGGTATGAAGCAACTGTGTTGAGGAAAATTTGCAGTCCAATCATCAATGTACTACCAGGTACGGGGACAAGTACAGTTTATTTGTGTAAGAAAGGCACTGGAGTGGGATACAGCTGATCAGGATTCAGTTTCCAGCTCTGCCACAGTTTTTTTTTGTGTGACCCTGGGCAGATCACTTAGGCCCAGATTGCTAAAGGTACTTAGGTGCTTAGATTTCACCATTTTCAAAGGCAGTTAGACACCTAAAGGACCTGGCCCTTCCATTTCTCTGGAAGAGACTTCCAGAGAAATGACTTCCTTAGCCTGTAGGATCTTTTATGAGCAACTCAGATATTAGTGCTCCAAACAAACACCAAAGGAAAGTCTATAAATAAATTTAGAAAAGGATGTCAATATTTTAATCAACAATAACATCTTATTTTAAGAAGCCACATAGCACTGCGGAGACTTTGGCCCAATTTCTCTCTAGAGAAAGAAACCCATTCTGCTGGTAGGATGCCAAAGCCCTTAGGGTCAGTAAATGTCACTGCTCAGGGAACCAAGGTATCTCTACACTACACTAAAGTCTTCAGTGGACAGACATATCCTTACCCTGTTAGGGTAGGCAACTCCAGGTCCCCAAATTAAGCACAACAGAAAAAGTGCAGACCTCTCTGTTGCACACTTTCCCCTAGCTCCACCCTAGTCCCCTTTCCCCCCAATCTCCTCTCCCATACATGTGCACATACCTTCTAGCATCTGCAGCAAGGAAACAATAAAAACAAATATATCAGAAAGGTTTCTTTATACAAATCCTTAGCCCTTTTAGGAAATGCCAGCTTTAATAGGATAACAGGAAAGGGCACCTTTCAAGTCTTACCTGCTGACTTTCAAGTGATAAAAGAAAAAAAAGGCAAAAGTATCTGCTCCTGGAAAGACCATTTCTGGCTACAAGCCAAAAAGGAAGGGTTATATTGGATTTTCCTCTCTTCCCCTACTGCAGCTAAGGCAATGTCTGTGCCAGTTAGATTTTTTAAATTTCAAATTGTGGCTTGGACTAAATGGCCTTCTCATACAAGTAGTCCATACAGTGTTGACTGTTATAAAATAGGTACCCTGGGGTAGACCACAGTGTCTTGACTTCGGTTTCATTTGATAAGACCTGTTGATTGCTCAGCCACTGGGGTGCCTCTGGCTCCATCAGGGGCTCTGCCTTTGGCACTTCACTGACTGCAACTTCAGTGGCTGGTCACCAAAGGCTGGTTGGCATTAGGGTAAATCCAGAGTCTAGTAAATCCAGGAAAGCATTATCAAAGGAACAAATGAAGGTATGTAACTTCCACTGCTTTTAATTTGGAGATGGGACCTTGACAAATCTTCCTTGGCACCTCAGATGTTTTATTAGTAAGGGGCCACGTAGATAGGGAGAAACCAATGATGCCACTTTAGACCTATTTACAAGTACTCAGCAGCTGAGTTTAAAAATGGATCATCCTTCAGAAGTGCATATAAATTCGTTTAGCTTAGTTTTTAGCATCAGAAATTCAACTGAGGAACTCTGAATGAACATATTTAGCACTTTTCTCCAATCATGAGAAATTGGAAAACATCCAAGAAGTTCCCAAAAAATGCGTCTTTTGGTTAAAGTGAAATTCTTTACATTTTGTTACATTACCTCTTCTCCCTGCCCTCAGGCTGTATGTTAAACCGGTTTACCTGAACTGGGTAGAATATCGCTTGGAGCGTAGGAAGGGTCTCGGTGAAGAAGTGATCCCAGATCTCAGAGAGGAGATCAATGCGATCTTCACCTAAATGTCAGGAATTTGGACAGAGAAAATCCTTTTAGCCGCCAGGTTAATGTCTCCAGGCTCTTTGCCCTTCCAAGTAAGTCCTGTTAGGCTCAAACTCCAAAACAGCTAGCTTCAGCTAAATTTTTCTTTGAATGACAGGGACAAAAGCCAGTGACCAGAAACTGCTGAGATGTTCACAGTCCTAAGAGCAGTTCTGCCCCAAATATTAAACAGGTCATTTACAGTAAGAGGCCGAAGTATCTCCTTAGACTTAGGGTCTAGATTCACAGGCAAAGAACTTTTCAGTTTTGCATCTAATAACCAGAAGCTAATGTCCCATTATGGTCCTACTGCACCAGCTGGGAAGAACCAGCAGGAGCCAGCCACTGCTGTATGTTTTGCAGAGGCTGAGTCAGGAAGACTGTGCTGTATGGGTGGCTCTTTGAAGAACATTAGTTCTGATATTTTTACTGTCCCAAACATGGAGCCATAAGTCACAGACCCCTCGTGCACATAAACGTCCATGGATGTGTGGCAAACTAGAAAGCCATTCACATGAGAATTTCTCTTCTACCAGAGTTTTTCATCAGACACCCGGCAACTCAGATTTCCAAGTGAAACTTGTTCAGTTGTATCAATCCGGACACAACAAAAGCCCCTAATATTGGATCATTAAAACTACAGACTGAAAGTGATGCAATCTAGAAACCTCCTCACAAGAATGTAACTTGACCACCAGGGGCCATAAGGTGATACATTAGCAATCATACAGTTGGTGAATGTAGTAGTGTAGGGTTTGGGGGGGTTCAGTTTGTCACAACCCAGTGATTTTGGTGCCTCGGCACTATGGAATTTCCTGGCCACATGAGAGCTCCTTTGCACGGCAGAGTATTCTGCTGCAATTGAGAACCCGCGTGCAGGAGAGAGTTCCCGCCAATTTGCAGTTTCCTTTGCAGGATGCATTTCTTCTTTGCAGCACAGAAATGCGTGGTGCAAAGAGTTCCCCCTATTCGAATGTAAATTTGTGCCCCGCTATTGGCCAGTGCTAAATTATTCATACGTGGCGGCTAGTAATTGGCTCGCTGGCCGTTTAAAATTCTGCGCGACTTCCGCCCAAGTCGAAGAGCTTTGAGCACGCTGCAGAGTGCCTCTAAAGAGATCTGACTTGCGGCTGCCGATCGATAGACTGATCACCTATCAATCTTTCTTCCCGTCACCGAGTGCAACCCCAGACGTACCCCTTTCCCCGCTAGCTTCGAATTGCGGACGGATTAACTGGCTGGGGCCCCGCCAGCTGGAACAACTCGCGTGGTTGTTCAGACAACCGGACCACCTGCGTCGTGATTGCAAGCAGTGTGAGTAAAGTTTTTTGTAACCAATAAGTTGTGTCTGCCTCTCCATTCACCAGCCCGCCCTAATGTACGACCAATTTCTAACGCAACTCGAGTCGGCTCTGGCCGTCCGAGACATGGCGACGAGGATGGGATCTAAGGGCACGGTGATGGAGATGAATCTGATCGGGTGCTGCCCCTGGCGCACCGGGACACGCCGCGTAGAGAATGCAAACGAT